CAGTGTGGAGGAGCTCAATTAACAAGAAAATTGAAACTGACAGTGCTACATCTTTAGAAAATGTAAAGAGGTATTAAATACATTTACTGTAGTATATACAAAATTTAAGACACCTTCAATTCAGCCTCAAGAGAGTAAGATTACTTAGATTAATAAAAGTGAAGTAGCCCGGCCAGGCGTAGCTCAGCGATTGAGCATCGACCTAGGATCCAGGAGATTGTGGTTCGATTCCTGGTCAGGGCACATGCCCAGGTTGCAGGCTCAATCCCCAGTTGAGACGCATGCAGGAGGCAGCCGATCAATGACTCTCTCATCATTGATGTTTCTATCTCTTTCTCTCCCTCTCCCTTCCTCTCTCTGAAATCAATAAAGATATATTTAAAACAAAAACACACAAAAAAACTATAAATTTAAAAAAAAAGTGAAGAATCAGGATCTTGTGGACCTGCAAACTCTTCAATCATTAAATAAAATATCAAGCTGTATTAAATTGAGCGAGATACTAAATCCCTCTGGCTCTTAGTTACATCATTATAACAATGACAATGAAATATTTCATTTGCCTTAAGGCAAAGGAATGACATATTTTCAGGTCTCTTTTTTATGTAATTTTATGATTCTGATTTTGTATGGCACAGTAGGAAGTATAATGATAGCTACTAAAATAACTGGCTAATATAAACAGTCTGCCTTATTCTCAATTGAAAATGTTGAGTTATCTGTAATCCCACAAAAGCCAATCCTGAGATGATTATTGTCTCTATTACTATGATTGTGAAGTGGGTTAGGTAAGGTCCTGCACTCCTATGGCTAACTCATTGATGCCAATAACTGATAAATGGTTTCAATCAATGATTCTTAACAAAAACCATCTGGGCAGGTTTTTGAAATTACATGTGCCACGACCCCTGTCCTACTAATCCTGAAATGTAGATTGGGTTGAACACAGCAATACTTAAAAAAAAAAAAGTTTCCAAAATGATTCTGAGGAACAGACTAATTTTCCGCAACTATAAAGAGCATTTTTTGAATATTTGCATGTTAACAGAAAGCTGGAAGCACCATATTGCTTTAATCCAAGGGAAAAGTACATTTTAAATGGTTGTAAAGATTTATTTTAAATGGTTATAATCAGCTGGTATGTGTAAATATTCTGGAGGAGTTTTAAAGGTCATACATGAAGCCATAATTTGACATGCAAGATTTTTTATTGGCTTAATCAGCTAAAAAAGGTATAAAAGAGAAAGAGATCAATGTACTTCACAGCTTTATGGGGTGGTAAGAATCAGAGCTATTCTCAGATTTGTCAAATTAAAATTTACAAAGTCAACATGAATGATCACAATATGGGTAAGTGCTTCACATGCAACAAACTCAAAAATGGGGATTTATAATAGGTGAGTCCAATTTATTAATGTAGAATGGGACACTTATTTGTTAGGGTTCCTGACATTGGTCACTTGGTTAAGAATCTCTCCCATATGGTTGTTTTCATCAATACATATTATTATTTTAAAATTAGAGGTTTAGTATTCTAAAAATAAATTACTTTCTAAAGAGAGAGCCTCATAGAGATGGAAAGGTACCTGAAGGTGGGAGAGTAAAAGCCAGGAAAAATAAAATAAAATTAAGGCTAAAAGTTTAGTGTTTTCAAATATCATCTCTGTGAAAAGAATGAAAGATAAAAAGATAGATAAGAAGTCAATTGTGCCGGTAAGAAGTTTATTGCACAGTAGGAGATAAAGGCACATAGATACTTTTAAAATGATAGGTACAATGATAGACCCATTTATAGCTTCCGAAAAAAGTAGAAAAGAAATACCATATAATAGGATAAAATGAAGGTGAAGCCTTTTCTTGGTGGGAAAAATAGTATTTTAATATAAGAAATAAATGTTTCTTATTGATATTTTTTTCTACAGATATAAGTTCTGTTTATTGGTATGAATTCTTAGCTTTAAATTCGGATGTTATCTGAATTTTTTCTCTTATATTAAGTTTATAGTCTCACGTGTCTGCTTAATATAAATTTGGTCCAAAAGAAGTTGTTTTTTTATGAAAAAGTATTAAAAATTTTTTCAGAATATTTAGATCTCTCATGTAGTTTAGTCTTTAGAACAATTGGGTGCTTAAAATGACCTTACAATATAGGTGCAAATTTACTTTTCACATTATGAACAGATTCACATTTAAATCTGAGTTAGATAGATTTAATGTAGTGAAGCCTATGAAAGAAATCTGACCAAGAATTCATTTTCTATTTTATTTTTAATTAAAAACAAACTGTTCTTGGAGAAAAGTAAAGCTGTATTTTGAAACAGTGTAGCATCTATTGCAGGAAGAATTAATGGGTCAGATTTTCCAAAGACGAGTGGGAATGAGGTGGAGGTTCTTGGGTGCTGCTGAAATAAGCTTTTGCAGAAGCCCCCATGGGGGGATGGGCTGTGGAAGATTGTACTGGCATGGAGTTACATTTCTCGGGCTCCAAAGTCCCCTGCCCCTGAAGCCAGTCCTGGAAAAGATGCAGCTGGGGTTCCAGGACAGCCAGAAACAAGGCCAGTGTCTAGAGTTTCCATTCCGTGCTGCAGCCAGGCCACCATTCAGGCCAGATTAAAGTCCGTTAGTCCATGTGTGGAGTCCAACATGCGGGCGCAGGGGAGTGCATCCCCCTGCCACAGGAGAGCCAGGAGCCCGGGGCCTGTGTGAGAGGGAAGAGAGAGTTTGCTTCTTTGTTTAGAAGTTTAAATATTTGGGTTTCGAGCGCTTGCAGTGGCCATGCCCATCCTGGCCACTAATTTGTTCCCAGGTATGACTGACAGGTAGGCACCTTCCCACATCACTCAGGCTTTTACTGGGCCTGTGTCTGAACTGCCTTGGTCCAGTCCCTTCCCCCATCACTCAGAGGGGAACAGACTTGCAGAATGTTAAAAGCAGCTTTTTGGCAAAGCTGTATAAATGGCACGCCTAAATCTAGCCTTCCTTTTCCTCCCTTCCTGTTAAATAATAACCAGGTTATTACAATGGCATCACTTCCACATTTTTTTATTTTAATTTTTTTTTAACATTTTAAACATTTAAATTAACTTAAAAATATCAAATGTGCTTTTTTTTCTTTGTTTTTTCTAGCCCTTGTATGTATCATAAACTTTCAGTTTTAGCTACTGATGTTAGCTGTGCTATGCTCTTTGTATTTCTTATGTCAAATTTTTAGGAGAATTTGAATCGTTTCAATTCAATTGAGTTTTTTGTGGGTGGGTGGGAGGAAAAGCTAATCAGTGGATTACCAGCTCTGCCCTTTGGTTAGGTGACTAATCTTAAATGAGAAATAGCAGACTCAAATTTATGGTTAATTCTGCTCAGAGGTGTGGATGAGGCATAGTTGCCTGGAAATGCTATAGTCGTAGAGGTTACCATGATTTACATCTAGTACACCATTACATTTCAGAGATCTATTATATAAATAAAAGCAATATTAATGATTTCTGCTTTATTTCACTAGGATATTATTGATAGTTATAATTGTGAATAAGTATTTCTACCAATTTTGAAAAATATTTTACATTTTTGTAGAACTATTTAGGAGACAAAACTATTTCATATACATTATTTTGACTATTAAAATATCCTTATTGACATAATAAAGTAGATTTTACTCTTCTTTTTCTAGAGCTGTAACAGCTGAGTTTCTGAGAGATTGAATGTGAGATAATGAAATAAACATTCAAGTCTCAGAAAATTTTGATTCTAATTCCTTTTTTGAAATTCATTATCTCCAACACTAGCCAAGTTGCTCTCTTTTTGCATCTCAGTTTCTTTATTTAAAATGACAATGTAGCTAGTCAGCAAGATGGTGCTATTAAAGTTAAGGGGTTTTTTTACCTGAGTGCCACAAAGCCCAATAAGACAAGATAAACGAGTTTGAAGCAGAGAAAGTGGGTTTTTATTTTTAAAGGTTGAGCTAATACTCAAAGACATGGAGGTGGGTTATATAAGGGGAAGATGATTAATCATGGTGACTAAGGAGTTAGGGTGTGGTCAGGATTGAGGTCTCTACTGATTGTTTGGCACTGGGGTGGGGGGAAGTTGATCAGTGCATCTGATCCTGATGTCAGCCATGGTGTCCCTTTGTCTGGTTTCAGTTTCTCCTGTCCTGGATCTGAAACACAACTGAGGCCTAAATATTACCTCCAGTGACTGAAACTCTGTCTCCAAGGTCAACAGACCTGAGGCTTTAAGATTATTTAAAGATGATTAAAACCTCATTGTCCTGAGAGCTTAATAATTAAGGGAGTAAACATGCAATGGAGAAGCAGGCAGGTGAGTCAGGTTATTGGGTGAGGTTAGTTTGAATCAAAAGGAAAGAAGGAAGAAAAGGTCATATTAAAGAAATGAAGTTTCTATGTAGTTACAATAGTAGAATAGAAGATCCTAGCCCTCATTCCACCAAGAATCACTGCTTGAACAATTATATATAAACTAAAATACACCTATGAGAGGCACAGACTTCAGTTAAGAAATTGCAATACTTCAGAAAAGTATAAAACCAAAACTAGCTTCAATAAAATGGATAAGAACAATTACACTTTAACAATAGCTGCCACTTCCCCAATCCTGAAACACTCAGCAGCAAGACAGATTGCCTTGGAGTGTGATTTCCACCTTATGAGAGTGAGGAAAGAGTGGGATAAATGTTTAATATCCCTGTCCATTCAGTGAATTCTCTGACGACCTGGTTTTTGTCTCACCTCCTGTGGAGCACTAAAAGAACCAGCACAGTATAGATTCCTGAAGCAGCTAACAGGAAAGGAAAAGGAATGGGAGGCTAACTGTGGCTGGCATTGCTTTACCAGATTTGGAGAAGGCACAGAATTGAGGTTTCAACTCCAGGAGAGAGGTAGAAGTAAAATATGGCTCTAACATCCCTGGCCTTTCAGTGCATTCTGTGAAGAGCTGGTTTGTTCTACAGCATGTAAACTACTGAATGAACTAGTATAGTCTAGATGCCTGAGGCAGCTGGAATAAAAGAAAACGTGTGGGAGACTCACTTTGGCCAGGGCAGTGAGACTGAGAAAAGGTACGTAACTAAAGCCTCTCCTTCAGAAGGAAAGTGGAAGAATGTAGTGTTCCTTCAACATCTGTGGCATTTCAGTGTTCTGCCTGACTGGCTGATTTCAGTTTTACCTCATAGGGGGCACTAATGGAACTGTCATTAAATGAGGAGAAGCAATATTAGGAACTATTAAATAGAAGAGAGGAAAAAGACTGAACACTGGGGGCAGCTAGGAGCAAAGACACAGAGATACTAGCCAAGCTGATTAGTGAAGGTCTTTCCCAGTCAAAGCCATTCTTTAAAACCTGGGAGATGTAGTTGTTTCTGCAAAAAAACAGAAACCAAAACAAAGCTTAAAAGAACACGATGAATTAGGAAAATATGACACAATCAAAAGAATAAATCACCAGTAGCTGACCCTTTAAAAGTGAAGATCTATGGAATAACTGACAAAGAATTAAAGATAATTATATTAAAGGAGCTTAGTGAGTTATAAAAAAAACACAGTTAGACAACTAGACAAAATCAGAAAAATGATACATGAACAAAATAAGAATAACAAAGAGAAATGATAACATAACCAAATAATTTTGGGAGATGAAGAATATGATAACTGAAACAAAAATTTTACTAAAGTGCTTCAACAGCAGATTTAATCAAGCAGAAGAATGAACTCAAAGACAGGAAATGTAAAATTACCCAAAGGAGAAGAAAAAAGAAAACAATAAATAAAAGTGAATAAAGCATTATAAACATAATAAAGTAAATGACACACATTATCAGAGTCTCAGAAAAAGTAGAGAAAGAGAAAAAGGCAGAAAGTTTATTTAAAGAAATAATGGCTAAAAACTTCCCAAATCTAGAGAGGAAAATGGACACCCAGATTCAGGAAACTTTTTTAAAATTACATTTATAGTATAATTAAAAAATAAGACACAAATAAATGGAAAGTGATCTGTGTTCATAGATTTGAGGACTTAATAATGTTAAAATGTACATACTACCCAAAGTAATCTACCGAGTCAATGTAATCTCTTTAAAAATTCCAATGGCATTTATATAAAAATAGAAAAATAATCTGAAATTTAGATGGAACCATAAAAGATGCTGAATATCCAAAGCAATCTTGAGAAAGTACAAAGCTGGAAAATAAATTACATTTACTAATTTTAAAATCTATTACAAAGTTACACTAATTAAAACAGTATGGTACTGCCCTAAGGACAAACATAGATGAATGGAACAAAATAGAGAGCCCAAAATAGACACAAAATTCTCTTTCAGCTCAAGGTTGAGGCAAATGTCTTTCTATATCTCTCTTTTTGACAAATATAATTATTTAAGAATTACCCTAGAAAAAATATGATATATTTTATTGTTTTGTGCTAAGATCATTAATTAGTAGCCTAGTCATTTATGTCATATAATTCCTGCACATTCTGAAAATTTGAGCATTGACTTAACTTTTACAACTCGTATTGTAGGGGTTCAGAATGAGTCACTGCAACATGTGCCTCTGTGATGTGCAGATTGATTTGAGGATAAAATCAACTTTAGGTTGGGCTCAAGATAAATTTCTGTCCCTTCCTTAACTACCTAGAAGAATATAAATTAGAGTGCTTGCTCTTAAGAGACCATCAGAGATAACTATTTTTAATCTACAAACTTATAATTAGTAAATATCTGCTCTTCTTATCCTTCTTCAATAACCCTTTGAAGTCCCCAAAGTACCTTACCTCATGCTTAACTCAGAGTGTCATATTCATTTCTCCTTTCTGTCTTTCAAAATCTCAAGTATGTCTATTCTCTGACTCATGTATTCAGGGTTCTCATACATATGTATGTATTAAATTTGTCTATTTTCTCTTGTTAATATATCTCATGTCTATTTGATTAGACCAGCCAGAAGAACAATTAGGGTAAAGAAAAGTTCCTTCCTCCCCACAATACCATATTCACAATTGCAAGCAGTAGTATGTACGTGATGATTTTATTTTTTTTTAAATTTCTATGTTAGAATTTCCAAATATATTTCTCTAGTCACCTACTGATGATTACTGCATGTTGTCTATAGATCTATGTCTTTATATTGCAGGGTTTTCTTTTATTTGGCTTGTTTTATTTACATAGGTGTCATAAAAACCAGATAAATCTCCTTGCTTACAATTAACAAATCTAAAGATTTGCATAACTGTTAAAAAATTACTATAGTGTAGGCCAAAGATTAAATTTGTTCTGAATCTTTCATTTAAAAAACCTAGGGCTACATTCTGAGATTATTCACATAGTGCAAGTTATGCTCATTTGTTTATTTATATATTCTGTCACTACTGTAACTGCGCAGAAACTTTATTTCTTTAATATAACCTTTTCTCCTTTTTTCTTTTGATTCAAATTGGCTTTATGCAGCAACCTGACTCACTTGCCTCCTTCTCACTTGCATGACTACTCCCCAAGTTATTAAGCCTTAAGAACATGAGGTTCTGGTCAGCATCAAATAACCTTAGGAAACAAAGTCTCAGGTCTGAGGAGCACAAAGACAGAGTATCAATCAAACTCAATATGTCTTCTAGGCCTCAGTTGTATTTCAGATCCAGGACCAGAAAAGCAGTGAAACCAGATGAAGCAATGCCATGGCTGACATCAGGACTAGATGCAATGATCAGCTACCTTCTATCCTAGTACTGGCCAATCAGTAGAGACCATGACCCTGACCATGACACTAACTATCTTGGTCACCATGATTAATAATTTTTTTGAGACTCTCCGGGTGCGCTGGGACCGGAAGCACTCGCGGAGGCCCCGCCCACCTGGAGCGCTGCCGGGGTGCGCAGCTCGCTCTTTCCCCCAACCTGCTGGTGGTGGTGGCAGCAGGTGCACCCTCGACATGCAGAACAACCCCCCGCGAGTTCGTGGACTTCTACCTTTGGAGGAAATGCTCCGCCAGCAACCGCATCATCCATGCCAAGGACCACGCGTCCATCCAGATGAACGTGGCCAAGGTCTACAAGGTGACAGGCAGGTTCAACGGCCAGTTTAAAACCTATGCTATCTGTGGGGCTATTCGCAGGATGGGTGAGTCAGATGACTCCATTCTTCGATTGGCCAAGGCCGACGGCATCGTTTCAAAGAACTTCTGATTGGAGAGCATCACAGATGTGAAATTTGTTATAAATAAATAGTGGAACCCCCCCAAAATAAATAAATAAATTAATTAATTAATTAATAATAATAACTTTTTTGCCTGTATAACCTATTCCTTGGAAGCCATTGGAGAGACAGGTCTCTGAGCATAAGCTCACCTGTGTCTCTTGGTATGGACCACTTCTTAAAATAAACTCTTTGCTGCAAAATTCTGTTCATGTCTTATTTGGCTTTGATGCATATAGGCAAACGGACCCCTTCAGTCTCAGAACACTATCATTTCTTCAGTTTGGAGCCCTGGGCAAAATCTTGAGTGGCTCTTTCCTGAGTTTTAAATAATATATCTATCAATATCTTTCTTTCTCCAAATTATTGAGTCTAATATTAATCCCAGTTTTCCAGGAAATGACGTTTTTCTCCCTGTAAGTCCAAGATTATAACTCACAGAGAAACTACTAGATTAATTTCTTGGAAATAATTTACAGCACTGTTTCCACACAAGTATAGATATTTTTCTTAATAGAGAGCTTTTCATATTTAATTAAATAAAATTTATCTCTAAATGTATACTTCTGGTAGAGCCATGGTAAAAAAAAAGGTTTATCCTATTAAATCCAAGTAAATAGAAAGATTGATTTTTTTATATATATGTTTTTATTGAGTTCAGAGAAAGGAAAGGAGAGGGAGAGAGAGAGAAACATCAATGATGAGAGAGAGTCATTGATTGGCTGCCTCCTGCATGCTCCCTGCTTGGGATCTAACCTAAAACCCGGGCATGTGCCCTGACCAGGAATCGAACCCTGACTTTCTGGTTCATGGGTTGATGCTCAGTCACTGAGCCACACCAGCCAGGCAGAAAGATTGATTCTTATTAAGCCTACAAAATTAACTACAATGACAGAGAGAATAAAAGAGACAATGAAGACAATTTGTATATCTAACTAGTGACATGAGTAGTTTTATACTGAAGTGCAGTAAATATACTGAATAGTATTGTCAACATAAATGTCCAAACCTAAAGAAAAATTTTATAAGAGTTTATCTGAGTCAAACAGAGAATATGTCTGGAAGCGAAATTTCAACAGACTAAGAAAAATGTTTCCAAGGAATGACAGTTTTCAGCTTCTTTTATGCATTTGGAATTAAGGAGGAAACATAAGGAAGAATACATGAAGTTGGGCAAAAGCAAGACAGGGATGGAATTACAGAAGATTATGTGCTCTCTTGAGGGTGGTAACCCTTTAGAAGGAGGGATTTGAAAAAAGGCATTAATAATGATGCACAGAAACAATGGATAGGGCTTGGTAAGGCAAAGATAAGCCTTTTACTAAAAAAGGTATATGCCTGTGGTGTGCCTACCACCATGACAGGCCCAGTTAGGAGTTTATGATCAGATCATCCCATGAGGTTGCAGCAATTTTTTTCCTTTTTTAAAATTTTATTTATTTATTTATTTATTTATTTATTTATTTATTTATTTATTTATTTTATTTTATTTTTTAAAAAATATATCTTTATTGATTTCAGAGAGAGGAAAGGAGAGAGAGATAGAAACATCAATGATGAGAAAGTTATTGATTGAGCCCGCAACCTGGGCATGTGCCCTGACCGGGAATCAAACCCTGATCGCCTGGATCCTAGGTTGACGCTCAACCGCTGAGCCACGCCCGGCCAGGCTTTCTTTTTTTTTAATCCACCGTATATTATATAATCAAAGATTTCCAGGAACATTATCTACAAATGTGATTTGCTTGATTGCATATTCATATAGTTAGAATAAATAAAATTTAACCAAACATTTGTATAAAATGACAATTATAATTTTACTAGCATAAACCTTTTAAAAACCAATTCAAACAAAAAACTACTCTTAATTACAATTATTAGAGACACTATATTTAAATTCTCATGAGGATACATGAGCTTGTAGTATGTTTCTTATGTTAATATTTTCTAGAGAATGCTTTTCCTTAAAGCGATAAACTATTGTGTTCTTGAATTCTAATGAATCTGCCCAAGTGAAAAATATTTTTATGAATCTTGTCTCTATCTTGTTGATTTTGGAACCCTTTACACAGACAATATTCTAATTTTTATAATTTTTGAAAAAGCATCAAGAACAAAGTAATAAGAAAGTTCCTTGAACATGACTTTTTTTTTCCAATTGGCAGTTATAGTTTATTAAATTGACAGTGAGAGAATAAGAAGAGAAATAAAAAGAGCTTCATCATAAGCTTTTTAAACAAGGGAATATTTTCTGAAAATGTAAAAAAATAAAATAAAAAATAACCCAAATAAATAAGCACAGTTTCATTCAGTCTTGTGCTACAATGCTTGGATCAGCAGTATACTTTTATAAAGCTATCTGTTTCCAGGCTAAAATAGACTTGAAAATCCCAAATCTTAACTCTCAATAGCAGATGTCATCTCACAGTGGCAATATCTCTCTAAAGAACATGTACTAGATGGGCCAGGTACAGAAACCCAGGTACAGAAACTTGGGTATTGGGACTCACCAGGGGTGGAAGCCCCAATGCCTAGCAAGGGGCAAAACTGGGAAAACAAGAATCTTGTCTCCAGGGTAATCTGTCCCCATTAGCATATCAATGGCCCTGTGGTTTAGACCCCCAGAGCCTTCCTCCCTAAAGATAACATTTTGGTCTCAGTAGTATTTCAACTCCAGGCCAAGCAAAACCAGAGACGTGGCGCCCTCCTTGACTCTGGACCAGCTACGTTGACTAATGTCCCCTTGCCCCGGCACTGACCAATCAGTGGAGACCAAGATTCTGAGTACAACTGGAAAGCTGAAGAATATTCTATTGAGACACTCCCCTGAGACTTCCCCTAAGATTCCTGCTTGTAAAAAAGAGATAATTAAGCTCAGGACAAAGGACCCAACTCTTGCTCCCCACCAAGGAAGTCACCAGCACCATCTCCATCCCTCTGAGGGGACCTTATGAGACTTGCAACCAGGGGAGCAATGGGCAGTGGCAGCTCATCTTAGGCTTACTCCCTGAACCTGTCTCCAAGGCCCCCTTCTCTCTCTCTGACTCCTCAGTGAGCCAAAGCAGCCCAGCCTAGGTTCTCCTGTTGCTTCTTCTTGTTTCACTGTCCCAAGTACACTTTTGTTATAGCTTAACAGCGAGACTGACAAAGATCGCCACACTCAGAGTCAAATGTAGGAGCAAAATTGTGCTAGCGGATGACAGGGGCACCGCACCCAAATCGGCCGTCCCCCGCCCCCTACACTAGCAGGATTTAAAGCAAAAAAAATCTCCTCCTTGGCTGGAGGGGGATGAGCTGTTTTAATGGCCTTGCGAAAGTGGTTGGGTACAGAAGCCGAAACAAGCATTAGTCAATTTATCTTAGGTACCATCTTAAGTTTCCATTCCCAGAATCGGGGGCAATTTAAAAACAATCCCTTGTGTAAAGGTCAGAGCTTAATCACAGAGTTTAAGTTGATTTCTTTTCCCAAGCTTGTGAGTCTAGATAGGGCCTTGGGCCATAAACCCAGATTACTATGAGCCCAGATCACTTTTGCTGCCATCATGGACCCAATACCATTTGACTCAGAGCTGTGTAGCACTTCCAATTGGATATCTTCATCCCCTTTTAATAAATTTAATTATTTAATTCACTCTCTGAGATGGCTATTTAGCCTGTCTGAGCACCACCATGTTAACCTTTAACCATGACTGTTTCTTCTAGTATTTTAGCTAAGAGTTTCTAGTATAACTTTTTACACTGGGTCCCTGAAATTGTCCTTTTTGATTATTTCAGAATATCCAATCTCTTGTCTACACCTTAAAATATAAGCCTACAGAGAAAGCATGAGGGAAAAACTCCTACTGGAGGAAAGACTAAATGTTTTGAACTATTTATTATGTGAGGACCCACCAAGATAGAGGCAGGCCCCTAGGCCCCAGGGCAGGACAAAAGGGATACATGAGTGACTCAGTAAACTGCAGAGGGTGGAGGCAGTTCCAGGAATTAACTTAAATCGGTGGGTTTGACGAATACCAGGTGCACTCCAGCTTCAGGCGCCTGTGGTTGAGAAACATCCTGAGCCCACCCTTCCTAAAGAATTTATAACCCACGTAACTTTGTAACTGACAATGATTGCTTGCTCACTGTAGCCCTATATAAGCTTGTGGGAAATTTAGATCGGGGTTCGAGTCAGAATTCCACTGCGTTGGATACGACGGAACCCCAGCAGCTGGAATAAAAGTCCCTTTTGCTGTTACATTATCAGCTCTGGAGTGATTGTTTTTCTGCCGCATAGGGGATCTGATTCTCGGACATAACAATTATAATTACTAAAAGTATAAAACTGGAGAAGAGTGGCATCCTCAACAGCAGTGGGACTACTATTAGTAGGAATTTAGTGATTACTCTAATGGGATTACATGAATTGTTTATATTAAAGATGTTTCTATCAATTACATTTATTAACCATTTTGATGCTCAAGTTGTTTCATCTTTCATTTTTCTTGCTCTAGCCCTGAATTAGTCATTCTTTAAAAGAGCCCTGGTTGACCCAGTGATCCCACTTCTAGGACTATATCCTAAGAATCCTGAAACTAATCAGAAAGAACATATGCACCTCTGTTCATAGCAGCTCAATTTACAACAGCTAAGATCTGGAAACAGCCCAAGTGCCCATCAGTAGATGAGTGGATTAAAAAGCTGTGGGACATTTACACCATGGAATACTACACAGCTGTAAAGAAGAAGGATCTTGTACTTTTGGGGACAGTATGGATGGACTNGCTGTAAAGAAGAAGAATCTCATACCCTTTGGGACAGTATGGATGGACTTGGAGAATATTATGCTGAGTGAAATAAACCAGGCAGAGAAAGACAAACATCACATGATCTCACTTATATGTGAAATCTAAAGAATTTAGTAATTTGATGAACAGAATAGATTCAATGACATGGAACATGGATCAGACTGAGGAATGTCAGAGGGATGGAGGAGGGCAAGTGGGTGGAGGGGGAGAGAGTAACCAAAGAATTTATATGCATATATGCACAACCCAAGGACAT